CTGTCTCACTCAGCCTGCTTTCTCACACAGCTCAGGACCACTTGTCCAGGGGTGGCACCAGCAGTGGGCTGGGCTTTTAACATAGGTCATTAGTCAAGGATGTTCTCCCTACAGACATTCCCACGGGCCGATCTTTTTGTTTTGCTTTGTTTTTTGTTTGTTTGTTTTTGTTTTTTTGAGACAGGGTTTCTCTGTGTAGCTTTGGAGCCTTTCCTGGAACTTACTCTGTAGCCCAGGCTGGCCTCAAACTCACAGAGATCTGCCTCCTTCTGCCTCCTGAGTGCTGGGATTAAAGACATGAGCCACTACTGCCCAGCCCCACAGACCAGTCTTATGGAGGCAATTCCTCAACTGAAGTCCCCCTTTCTCAGATGACTCTAGTTTGTGTCAAGTTGACAGAAAACCATTCATCCAACCAACCAACTAACCAACCAACCAACCAACCAACCAGCCAGCTAAACAGCCAGCCAGCCAGCCAACCAACCAACCAACCAGCCAGCTAAACAGCCAGCCAGCCAGCCAACCAACCAACCAGCCAACCAACCAACCATCCAGACAACAAACCAACTAACCAACCACAAACACAAAGCCACCCAGCACAGGCAATAAGGGTCAGCAGTAAAAGTATAGTTTATGCTGAAAGTGACAGGACAGGGAAAAGGAAATGTAAGACTCTGCATGCCATATCCCTAGAGCTATGGGTAAAGAAAATGGCTTTTTATATTTGCTTCTGTGTTGGTCTTGTGGGAAAGTATGTATTTTCATCTGGTTTTTTGTTGTTGTAACATAATACCAAGGACTGAGTAACATATAAAGAACAGAAGTTAATTTTGGTTCATGATTCTCAGACTGAAGTATCCAAGAGCATGGCTGCAGAATCTTCTTGGTTTCTTGTAGGCAGAATTTCTGTGTCCTAATAGTCACTGTATTAAATAGTTACACAGAGACTTAATATTAATTATAAATGATTGGCCAATAGCTTAGGCTTGTCTCCACCCAGCTCTTATAACTTAAATGAACCCATTAATTTCTATTAATCTATGTGCTGCTCCAAGGCTTGTTTACCTCATCTATGAACTTCCCATATGGTTTCGTCCGTGTCTGGCTTGAGACTCCTCAGACTCTACCCTTCTTCTTCCCAGAATTCTCTCTGCCTCCAAAATCCTGCCTAGCTATTGGCCAATCAGCTTTTTATTAACAACGAGAGAAACACATCTTTGCAGTGTACAGAAGGATTTCAGGTGAGAGTTTCATGATGCTCATGGTGGAAAGAGGAAGGTGTGTGTGTGTGTGTGTGTGTGTGTGTGTGTGTGTGTGTGTGTGTACAGTCTTTGCCACACACTTTGGCCTCCATGAACTGAACTGCTCAGCTGTGCCTTCTCAACCATGATGGACTGAAACCTTCTGAAAGTGTGAGCCCAACAAACCTTTCTTCCTTCAAGTTGTTCCTGGCAGTATTGTTACAGCAGTGTTCAAGTAATGAGTCCTTTGTGGTCACAAATTATCTCCTAGTTGTGGGCATGGGTTTAAATCCCAGAATCCCAAGTAAATTTCCTGAAGGGATTGGCGGGAGCTATAAACTCAGGTCCTGGTGTTCTCCAGGACACATGGCAGGTGGCTATGTGCTCTTTGGAAGCTTTCACTAATCTTTGGGGACATCTTGTCAAATTTCAGTCAGGCAACTGGGCACTTACTGTGGACCAGATCAGAACTGTATGTTCAGCATATATAAAGGAATAAACATGATTCTCGTCTCTAAGATATTTTGATCATTCTTCTAAAAGAATCATTTAAAATTCTTTCCCTACCCACTATGAGAGCAAAGTGAGGCTAATTTCCCCTTTCATTACCTCTGATGTAAACCATCTGGTACATACATCCTGCTCAGAGACCACTCCTGAGAGACCCTTATGGAGCGTATGTTGATAAAGGTCCCATTTCATCCCTGTATTTAGAAGTTCAGGGTCTTGCAGGGATTCTGGCCTGAGGAAAGTCTATTTGGGCAGCTATAACAAAATGCCATAGACTGGATTATTTATGATGGTCTTGGAAGCTAGGAGTCCACAAACAGAAGACAGTTGTCTAGTGAAGGCCTGTGTTCTCACAGATAGTGCCTTCTTATCATGTCTTCACATGGAGAATGAGGCTAGTTAGCTCTCTTTTTCTTTTTTAAAAAAAGATTTTATTTTCAATTGTGTGGGGGTGGGATGGGGTGGGGGAGTTATGCATGTGAGTGTAGGTGTTAGACGTAGCACAAATCCTAATTGGTCTTAATAAAAACCCGGAGCCAGATATTGGGGTAAATCCTGAAAGATCAGAGAAGCAGAGCAGCCAGCCACTAGAGTTCTTACCACTACTGAATCCTCAGCCTGAAAGAGCCTGAGCTCCTTTCTCTTCCCGCCTTATATTCCTCTCTCTGCTCAGCCATATCACTTCCTGTCTCCACCTCCCTAGTGCTGGGATTAAAGGCATGTGTGCCTCCCAAGTACTGGGAGCAAAGGCATGAGATGCCAAGTGCTGGGATTAAAGGTGTGAGCCACTACTGCCTGGCCTAAGCAGTGGCTGGCTTTGCCCTCTGATCTTCAGGGAAGCTTTATTTGTTACAGGATACACAAAATAGCACCACAGTTAGTGGAAGCCAGAAGAAGGCATTGGATCTTCATGAGCTGGAGTTACATGAAGTTGTAAGCAGCCTGGTGTGCGTTGTAGAAACTGAGCTTTGGTCCTCTGGAAGAAAAGTGTGGTTTCTTAACTGATGAGCCATCTCTCCAGCCCAGGATGTCTTTCTATAAGTGCACTAATCCTATTTACAAGGTTCCATCCTCATGACCTAAACACTTCCCCAAGGCCCATCTGCTAATTATCATGATTTTGGGGATCAAGTTTGGACATATGAGCAGGGGCAATGGTGACAGTGTGTGTGTGTGTGTGTGGGGGGGACTAACATAAGGGTGCACTATAATTTATCACCTAATTCACATATTTTTATACCTAGGAACCATGGGAATGCTGCCATGAAGTTGAATTTTGACTTCTCCGTGTTATATCCGGAGAAGGGGGTTAAAGCTTGTGAGACTCACCGGTTTGTGGGGTCAGGGGAGGATCCCACACGTTTCAAACATCAGCTGCCACAGTGGGTCAGCCCAGTGCCAGCATTGCTTCCCCAGCTGTACCAGGGCTGGTCCATTCCTCTGCATCGCCCCAGTGGCATTTCATACAGTTCCTATCACTTCCTGCGTGAATCACTCCCTTACTTGGCTCCTCAGCATCCAGGGTTAGCAAAGTCGACTTTCAGCTCACTTTCCACTGTCCATTTGTGGAGACCCTCCATGTTCCACGTTG